TCAACTCTAGATGACCAAAGACCCGGATGTAAGACTTGACCTCTGAAGCTATCAGCAGAAAAACAGGGGAAACACTCCAAGACATTGGCACAGGTGATGGGTTTCTGGATAGGACCCCCAAACCAAAGGAAGTAAGAGCAAAATGACAAATKGGATCACATCAAACTAAAAAGTTTCTGCACAGCAAAGGAAACAACCAACAGAGTGAAGGGACAACCTAACAGAGTGGGAGAAATAGCTGCCAACTCTTCACCTGACAGCAGCAAATACCCAGAATATATAACTCAAAAATTTTTTAAAAATCAAAGTAATCCAATTTAAACATGAGCAAATGATCTGAATAGACAATTCTCAAAAGAAGAAATATAAGTGGTTAACAAATACATGAAAAAATGCTCAATATAATAGCCATCAAGGAAATGCAGATCAAAACTACAATGAGATGCCATCCTACCATAGTTAGAATGACTCTTATTAAAAAAAAATAATAAGATAGGTGTGCAATCCCAGCTACTTGGGAGCCTTAGGCAGGAGGATGACAAGTTTAAGGCCAGCCTCAGCAAGTTCTAAGTTAGTCTAGGCAATTTAGTGAGATCTTGTCTTAAAAAAAAAAAGCAGGAAATGGGGGCTGTCGCTCAGAAGTAGAGCACTGCTTGCTTAGGAAGCCCAAGAAGGCCCTGGGTTCCATTGCCACTAGTCCCCCACACCCAAAAATAGATGAACCCAAAAATAAAATAATAAATGCTAGCATAGATGAAGAGAAAAAGGAAATCTAATATATTTCTGGTACAACTGGTTTTCTTATGGTTATCAAAAGGGGATTTATTAGAATGTCTTATACAACCAAAAGCTGGATAGTCCACAATGGCCATCTGCAGGCTGGGGAGCTGGAGGAACCATTGCAGTCCAAGAAGCAGAAGCCTCAGAACAAGGGGGATTGATGTTGCTACCACAGTCCAATACCAAAGACTTCTGGAGACTCCCTGGACAATCAATCAGTGGCAGAGTCCACTTTGGAAGAGTGAAGGAGCAAGAGTCTGATATCCTCAGGTGATCACAGCAGCAATCAAGAAACCATTCAAGAAGAATGGAGCTTGCACCTGCTGCTGCTTTCTCATTCTTCCAACTTTTATTCCATCCCAGACACCATACTGTTGGATGGTGCTGTTCATGCTTAGGGTACAACTGTTAATTAATACCTCATAATAGAGAACAGTATGGAGGTTCATCAAACTAAAAAAAGATCTACCATGTGRTCCAACTATGCCACTCCAAAGGAAATCAGGTATCAAAGAGGTACTGCATGCTCATGTTTATGTGGCACCATTCACAATAAGACATAGAATCAGCCTAGAGGCTATCAGCAGATGAATGCATAAAGAAGATGTGGTTTAAATACATAATAGAATATGATTCAGCTATAAGAAAAATGAACTCCTGTCATTTTCAGCAAAATGGATAGAACTAGATGATATTATGTTAAGTGAAACAAGCCAGACACAAAGACAAGATCAATGCATGCTATATGCATACATGGAAATTTCACACCGATTCCCATTATGTATACAACTAATGAATTAATAAAAATAAGTAATTTGAGAAAAATTTTTTAAAAATTGACTCTTGGGCCCACAGTTGGGTGTGAGGCTGCTGAAAGGAAAGACCAAGGCCTACTGCAGTGGTAGCTGATGTGATTTTGGGTTTTGTTCTGAAGGGCCAGGATCCAGCACCCTCACTCAAACAAGACCGTGTCTTACTAAGAGATCACAACACTAACATGAAGTCCTTCCTAGTGTGAGTACCAGACGTTCCCCAATCATTCTGCTCCCTGCCAGCTGTGGTACTGGTCCATGAAGGAGGTGGTGTGAACCTCTACTGTGGCCCAGGAGAGCTCAAGTGGGTGAAAGCTGGGGATGGTTTCTGGGTCTGGCAGGTGTGACTCCACACCCTGCAGCCCCATCATGCAGCACACTGCCTCCCACCTGCAGGGCACAGGGAGGGCTCTGGTTTGGTTTTGGTGTGCATTCTTTGTTTTTAATATTTTTAAATTGTAGTTGGACACAATACCTTTATTTTATTTATTTATTTTTATGTGGTGCTGAGGATTGAACCCAGCGCCTCGCACGTGCTAGGCAAGAGCTCTATGGCTGAGCCACAATCCCAGCCCCTTGGTGTATATTTTTGACTGTTCAGCAGGCACTTGCTGGTGACCGCCTACTCAGCTTCTGGACATGAACACAAGGTTTCACAGTCGAGTAACCAGTGTGGTCTCTCCTGGCCTTCCTTAGAGATCACGGCTAACCTCACCATGCACTATGTAATGTGCACATTACTCCTGTGACTTCAGCAGATGTGTCTTAATATCTCTGCTCTCTTCCCTAAGACTCCTGATACAGGCCTTGCATTCAGAGTCACAGTGCTGATGGGGTGGCTTAGGATTCTGCCTCTAGGAATGATGACTTTGAACCCAGGCACAGAGCCTCCCAGTCCTCAGGGGAAGTCTACCAGGAAGGGGGCAGCCCATGAAGCAGACACACCTTCTGCAGGAACTGCCAGAGCACGGGCACCATCTCCTTGCCGTTCTTCTGCTCCACAACGTGCTGGAGGTACTCCACTGTGATCTTCTTCCTGCAGCTCCAAATCTTTGAGCAATGAGCCACACTTTTCTGGGACAGCTGGAGCAAGAAGCTTGCTGGGTCACCATATATGATTTTGGCCACAGGGCTAGAGCTGATGCGCTCATCCTGGCTGATGAGTGTGCTCACAGTCAGSAGGGTCTTATCGAGATGCTGGATAAAGAAATGACACAGCATTCTGCAAGTGAGACATGGTCACAGACAACCAGGCAGCTCTTGGACCCACGGTAGCTCCTTAGGAATCTGCCTGCACAACCCGGATGCTTGCTTTTGCCATCTTTCACTGATTRGGGGGTTCCTTGTTCATAGGGTTTTTGCCTCTACAAACAGAGTGAGACTTGGGGCCTTTATTTCACTGCCCTTTTGCTTCCTGACTTCCCTGTCCTGCTGTGGATAGTCAGCTCTGTGATGTTCTCAGCAGAGCAGTCATGAATCCASAGAGATTGTCGATGCATTTCTGGAGGGTCTCTGCCTCTTACTTTCACATCTTGCTATAAAAAGCAGTGGAGCAGGCTGCCATCTGCCCTCTGGGAACTCCTGATAATCCTTGGCCTTACTTAAGACTAGTGCAGGAGGGGGATAGCAGAAGGAGGGCTTTCTCCAGGCACGGCCTCTGACAGCCCTCCTGAGGACAGTGGGCCCACAGTGCTCCCAGATGAATGGGACCCCCTCCTGGAGAGAGGGCTAAGGAGTGGTCACCACTCACCACTTACCTCCAGTTCAGGTAGAAGAAGAGCTTCGACATGTTTTTCCCAACTGTTTCTATGTCCTTTTTTTGACAATTTTGCATCAAAATTTAAATGTCCTACAAAAAAAATCAAAATGTGTCTGTTACCCAACAAACAAAAAGCAGCGCTCTCTATACAGTAAACACTGAATAATGTTAATAGAGATAGTCCTCCTTTTGGGGTGATAACTTCCTAAGTTCACCAGGTACTGCCAACACCAGCCTCCAGGCCTTGTGAAGACACTTTAGTCTCTGACAACCCTCCAGCCCACAGCTGTGGCCTTGAAARTATTTTAAACAAATGGCTAAGGACARGACRTGAACTCAAAAGCCTAGGGGCWCAGCAATGCTGACAGCTACCCAGAGCCACCTCACTGCTGCCCCCAGGCCTGTAGGCAAAGGTGGTCCTGGGGAGCTGGCAGCAGGTTAGGGCTCCCGAGTCCATGTGCTGTGGAAGCCACACCAGAACAAGAGGTACTCCGCAAAATCAGTGTTGCTAAGATGGGAAGGACATGCTAATGCTGGTTTCTGATGAAGACATCCCTGAAGTGGAATAGATTCTCCGGTGGTGGTAACAGACATTTTATTGCTACTGTTATTATCTGTATGCTTTTAAATAACATTGTTCTACAATGGTACAATGATGGTTTTAAAAGATTTTTGCAAGTAAGCAAGAAGGAAACTGAAATCCCTCCTAATGCCACTCAGATAACCACTTACAGAGTCCCCTCACAGACCTTTGCTTTGGGCCTGGATTTAAATGTTTAGAGTACAAGAGTTAGCTCAGCAGACAGTGTTTTGTAGCTTCCTTTGTTTATGTAACAAATTGTGTACATGTACATATTAGGTCAGGGTACAAGTGTGACATCTCTGGAAAGCAGAAGTGGGACATGTCACCTGCTGGGGTGCCACGTGCTCCCAGGGCACAGGTTAATGGTGCATGCACAAGCACCAGTTATCAGTGCTGCAGGCCCCAGCCAGGCAGGTGTGGGAGGAGCGCAGCAGCCCCTCCAGCCCCCGCAAGGAGAGCAGAGCGCTTGCTCCCACTCCTGTCATGCCATTCACCAGGAGCTGAGGGAGCCTGGTCTCCTGGCAGTTATGCCCAGCCCACAACCCTTGCTTACTCCAGTCAGGGAGTGGGTGCTGCTCTTTGAGAAGGCAGCGCAGCATGAGGTGGACCACGTGGGTGGTCTCATCAGCACTCTTCCCCAGCGTCTTTGTCAACTGCTCCAAGTCTCTCCGGATGTGCTGCTGCAGGAATCCTTTAGGGTCACTCACTGGAGGCTTGATGATGTTTATCACAGCCTGTGAGGGCAACGAGATCAATGTGTAGAGGACACAGTGAGAAGCCAAGGGAGCGAAGCACCAGCACTGGGGAGAGGTGGTTTCTAGGTGGGGTCAGGGTGCTCTCAGCATGACGCAGGCAGCAGAGGAAGGGAGGGAGGTGAGTAGAGCCAGAGATTGCTGGCTCTGATGTCATCTGGGTGCTGCAGGGAATGCTGCCCTGCACCTCCTGCAGCCACCACAAGGGTGTAGGTGACAGGGTCCCACCACCTCCCCATGCCCAGGTGTGGGCATGGACAGAGTTGTATACTCTGAGTAGACTTTATGATCTGATTGTTGCACCTTGTATACACATGCTAAGATGTCACACTGTAACAAACGTGTAATTGTTTTGTGTCAGTTAAAACAGATTTTAAAAATTAAAAAAATGAAGAGGATTTTCCATAATCTGAGGAGTAGTTCCCCCATTGCATCATACGCCCCAGAGGGAAAAGTAGGATCTATAACTTTTGCATTACCCTGTGGACTTTGTAGACAAAAGGACTGGATGCAAACACAGCAGGTTCTTCCTATAGCAACGTAAGAGAGTCTAGTGGTAGCATCTAATACCTCAGGATTTTGAGTGGCTCCCAAAAGCATAGCCAGATGAGTGAGTAGGCGCATGAGAATGAAGACCACCGGGGACAGCTCTCGGTCAGACACTACTAGGACATCTCTGGGTTGTGGGTGGCCCAGCACATGGCCAGTCTTGGTTCTGTCTGTGCTGTCTCTGGAAAGGATGAGAGGAAACAGGATGAAGACTAGAGATGTCTGTTTCTCCTCAGCTCCAGGGGCCTCACATCTTAACGACTAGGTTCCCAGTTTTTTCTTGTTTTTTTGGTTTTGGTAATGGTAACGGGGATTGAACCCAGGGGCTCAACCATTGAGCCACATTCCCAGCCCCCACTTTTTTGGGGGCACTAGACCAAAAAGCCACATTCCCAGCCCTATTTGGTATTCTATTTAGACAGACAGGGTTTCTCAGTGCCTTGCTTTTGCTGAGGCTGGCTTTGAACTCACAATCCTCCTGTCTCAGCCTCCCGAGTTACTGRGATGATAGGTGTGCATCACCACACCCAGCTAGGTTTCAAGATTTGAAGAAAACACTAAAAGAACCAATTATTCCAAGCCTAGACCACCTGCCTCCACATCCTTCTCTCTTTACACCCACCCAGCTGGATGGCCAAACTCTGCAACTTTCCCAATGTTAAATGGCTGCACGATGTGGCCATTAGTGCAGGGTGTCAGGATGGAGAGCAACACCTTCCTCATGACAGCAAGTTTGGGGCATTTTTGCATCCATGTGGGGATTGTCTACGTAATTCTCAATTTTCCCAAATCAAAAACTGGGATATACAGACTGGAAAAAGTTTTCAAGATTCAAGGACATTGATAATTTAAGAAGATAAGAGTCTAGACTATTTTAAGCTTTGTAACAGAAAAGCCAGATAAATGGTGAGGTAGAAGGTCCTGCATGTCATCTTAAGGGAGCTCYGACAGCCACACTCATCTCAGGATCAAGCATGGGACTATGAGATCAGATTTTTATTTTTATTTATTGTTTTCAGTTCTGGGAATTGAGTGGGGGCTTCACATGTGCTAAGAAAGTACCCTACTTTTGAACTACACCCCAAGTCCTTTCTATTTTTATTTTAAGACAGGGTCTCACAAGGTTTTCTGAGCTAGCTTCAAACTTTCAATCCTCCTGCCTCAGCCTCCTGAGTAGCTGGGATTACARGTGTGCACCAATATTCCTGGCTGAAGGTCAGATTTTTATCTAGTTTCTGAATCTGGTACAGTTAGCCTTATGTATCTGCARTTCTGCGCCTGTGAATTCAACCAACTATGAATCAAAAATATTCAGAAAGAACTGGGTACTGAAGAGTAGCTTTCTTTTCTTGTCACTATTTCCTAAAAATATGATAAATGAGTATTTACATAGCATTCAATTTGCATAAAGTATAATAAGAAACCTAGAGATGATTTTTTTAAAGTCTGTGGGAGGGCTGGGGATGTGGCTCAAGCGGTAGCGTGCTCGCCTGGCACGCGCGCCGTGCTGGGTTCGATCCTCAGCACCATATACAAATAAAGATGTTGTGTCCACAGAAAACTAAAAAATAAATATTAAAACATTCTCTCTCTCTCCTCTCTCTCTCTCTCTCTCTCTCTCTCTCTCTCTCTCTCTCTTTCTCTTTAAAAAAAAAAAAAGTTTATGAGAAACCAAGTACAGTGGTGCACACCTGTAATTCCAGTGCCTTGGGAGGCTGAGGTAGGAGGTTCACAAGTTCAAACCCAGCCTCAGCATCTTAGTGAGACTCTATGCGACTTAGCAAGACCCTGTCTTTAAATAAAATATAAAAAGGGCTGGTGTTGTGGCTCAGTGCTTAAGAACCTTAGGCTCAATCCCCAGTACCATTAAAAAAAAAAAAAAACTGGTTTAGAGGAGGATATTTGTAGGCCACAAGCAAATACTGTGCCATGACATATAAAGGAACTGAACATCTGGACCTGAGTATCTATGGAGGAAAGTGTCCTGGAAACAAGTCTCCAHAGATATGGAGGAATGGCTGTAGTTAATATGACTGATCACAGGGCTCGGGCTGGAGCTCAGTGGCCGAGTGCCTGCCTAGCACATGTAAGGCACTAGGTTCAATCCTTAGTACCGCATAAAAATAGATAAAATAGTACATGTATGAAGACATGAAGGATGGGGCTCTACTTTGTGTACAGCCAGAGATGTGAAAAATTGTGCTCTATATGTGAAAAAAAGAAAAAATAAAATAAAGACASGCTATCCATCTACAACTAAAAAAGTTTTTAAAAAACACTGACTATATCTGTCTTTCACTTTTCTCAAATTAAAAAAACAAAACAGGGAAGGGGTGCAACTCAATGGCAGAGCTCTTGCCTAGGATGTGTGAGGCCCCGGGACCCATCCCCAGTACCACAAAAATAAAGCAAAGAAACAAAAAAGCTTCAGCACTACATGCCCACAGGTGTGCTTGATGTGGATCCCCAACATGACACAGTCCAGATGAAGAACAGTGGTGTTGGTGATCCTATAGTTCATACGATTCATCTGCTGGAATGGACAGCCCAGAGCCTCAGGCTCCAAGGGATGGAAGCTGAGTCCACATACCTGATACTTTGGAAGCCAGCATGAGGTCTGTGGTTGATACCTCCTATTTTAGCACCACAGTCAACACAGAAGCTCTGCTCCATCGGCTTGCCACACTGGGACATAGAGGGGACACAGGGTCAGCACTGCATCCAGCATTGGTACATGTGCAGAAGCCACCCTCCATAGGAGGTGGTGTGTGCCACAGTCTGCATCTGGTGCATGTGTGTGTTAGGGAGGAGAAGGAGCCCTGGGGAGAGGGTGGGCACTTAACCACATATACTGTCCGTGGGCAAATGTGGCTTCATTTTCCAAAAATAAAGTTTTTTACTCCCAAGTAGAGTGACTAGTGTGTGTAGCTCCATCTTCCTTTCTCCTATTCACCGCCTTCTCCATCCCTGTGTCTAACATGCCAGCCTCTAGAGCATCGTTATCTAACACCAGGAATGATGGTGTTAATAACTTCTAAGCAGACCTCCTCACATCCACTGGACAAAAACAAAAAAACCCAACCATAAGATTTGCCACCACTAATGGGCCCAGGTTTCCAAGTCAAATGGCACCCCACTGCTATGAATCACGCCACAGCAGGCCCCTCCAGCTGCAGCGCTCAGACCACAGAACTCAGTGATAAGAGGGGCCCTGGGATCTCTTCTTATTTCACTCCTCAGRCGAGGAAGCAATTGGGAGTCAGGAAGGTGAAGTCACATCAAGGAGCATCCTGTTCACTTTAGGGAGCAGCACACATAAGTCTAGTCCAGCAGCATGTTGCTCAGCAAGTGCAGATGCCATGAGCAGCCCGGGAGAGGCCCTGGAGTCCCAGATGAGCAGCATGTGCTTGTCTCCCAGGGCTCATCACCCATAAGTCTTTCCTGTCCTCTCCTGTCCTCTGGTATCTAGCCCACATTCCTCTCTGACTAGTGAACCAGCTGAGGGTCTGTGTGGCTGAGCCGTGCTGCAGGGCCAGGGAGGGAGGTAGGGCTCCCGGCCAGCAGCATCATGGCATCCTAGGAGACTTGGGCAGTGCCTGCAGACATTCTCGGGCATCACACTGGGCTAGGGGGTGCTGCTACTGGCACCCAGGGAGCTGAGGCCAGGCATGCTGCTAACTATCCTACAATGCACAGACAGATCTGCAGAAAAGAATCATGTTTACAGTGCCATTTAGACACTCAGCTGGAACACCCTGAGTAGCCCTCAGAATACACCTATGTCTCCCTCATTCCCTAGGCCCTCCCTCTCCTCCCAGATGGGAATGCACATTTAGAGCCTCCCCCAAACACCAAGACTCACCTCTCCTACAGAACACGGATGACCTTTGGGACAAGCTGTTCAAAGAACAACAGGACACATGTCAGCTAGTGAGTCTCCACCAAATGACCCATGTGGGAAGGGGACATTGCTGCCCTCCTCTCTGGCCCTGACCAACAGGACACACAGCCCATGTCCTCATGATCTCACCAGAAGCCTTGAGCCATGCCATCAGCTAAGTTTACTTGACACGTCAAGTAACTGGAGGTCAGTGAACACATGTCATCAGTGAAAAGTGTCTGCATTTAGCTTTCTACCACAGAGAGAGGTTAGATTCCAGACACACCAGGGGTAACTTAGTGGCAGGGGGGATAGTGTTTTATATCTTTCTATTCTCTTGGATTTTTCCTTTTATGGCAAGAGAATGATTTAGAACAACTTAAAAAAATTAGTTTTAGAAGGTTATTTACTCAAGGCAACAGCTTAACTCACATAAAGTCAGGGGTTATATGGCTGTCTCCATGGTCCAGACTACAGGAAGCTCTCTCTGGGTCAAAAACCCCTGCATTGTGACTGGGCTTTGAATGAGCCTCAGCATGGTCCCCAGGTCCCCCTTATTCCAAATGGCTTGTTCTGCCGAGCAACAGTGCATTCCAAAGGGTCTTGTCCCCTGACTAGGCAGGGAAATGACTTGGTCATCTAGCCAGCCAAGTCTGTGGCCCTCGAGCCACCAGGAGGAGGCAGGTGACATGGGCCTTCAGCAGAACCTCGTGAAGCCAAGTCCAACCTCATGTCTGGCATGGCTGCAGGCTGACCTTCCAAGCTGAGAGGAGTGAGACCCTTCCCCTTACACCGATACTCACTGTACCAGTGGATGCCTTCCAGACCCTTCCACTTCTGGGCTTGAGCCAGCAGGTCTTCAGGCATCGTTGGAAGAAAAGCATTCTGAAAGACCAAGAGCAGAAGTGGCCCTGCTGAGTGGGCCTGTGGGCTGCAGCTGCAACCCAGCAAGAGGCACAGAGGGAGAAAGTTTCTTCTCAGCTCGAGAGCTGTTTACAGAGGATGAACAACAGCTCTGTGTGAAACGGCAAAGGGTAGGGCATGTTTTTACCAGGACTGTGCTGAAGGATCAAGTGGGGCAATGGGGCAGAGAATCTAGAAGATGGACAAGTCAGAGAGTTCCCACAGCCACAGGCCAGGTCTCAACATGAAAAACCCTGAAGTTTCACTGTGAAACCAAGATCATCATCATGCAGCTTACCGCCATGCTGGCTGGGGAGAAGGCCAAATTCCTCAGGGGCACCAAGACTTTGCTCTGTCCACACAGAAGGACAGCCGCAGTGTGAACGGCCATTTCTGTCACTGTTCCTTCAAGGCTGTCAGCACCAGGGCCTGCGCTCAGCAAGGGCAGAGTGTTGGCCACGAGGGATGCTGCGAAAGGCCTGACCCCCGGAAGAGACAGGATCTTGCTGTCCTCAATGAACCTGCTCACAGCCTCGCATTGCTGGCACAAAAGACGTTTTTCATGTTAGGATATGTCAGAGAAGAATACTGTGTGAACTTAGGGTTTTCTCTTTGAAAGTCACACATTTCAATACTGAGTGCATATCAAATATCAAGGTAAATATATTTAAAGGATTATAATGGAGGAGAAATTCTTCAGGAAAGAGAATTTTCATATAGAAACACAGCAACCACATTCCTGAGTGCAGATCTCAACACTCTGTTTTGATAAACATGAGGTAATGTTCCTGAGACTGTAAGATTTAGGGTTAACAGAAAATAGTTCTTCCACGTAACAAGGGTACACCCTCTATCCTAGACAGGAAATTATGGAGGGTCATAATTCCTATTATCCTGATAGGAAATAAAAGTTTGTGACTTCTACTGTGCTCAGAAAGCCCCCTCTTAATCATGAGACTGAACTCAAGCCCCAATGTGTCACTCACCTCTGGCTTAGGGTGGAGGTTCGAGTTGTGGGAGCAGTGGAGAGCAGCCACTTCTCGGAACAGTGCCAGCAGCAGGTAGAAGGCCTGTTGAGCTCCAGGGCTCCTGCAGGCCTGCGGGTGGGGTGTGGAGCGAGCACTCAGAAGCTACACAGCGCTACCTGGAGCAACCTTCCCTGGGCCATGCACCGTGGCCCTCCACGCACATGACTCGGGCTATGAGTTCATGAGACAGGCTCAGGTTAACCTCAGTGCACAGGGGCCAGGCAGCCATGATGGAGAAACAGAAGTCAGCACCTGCTCTCCTCCAACTACTTCACTGGTCTTGGAAATGTTTCCTGAGAGGTTTTTCAATTTCCTCTTTCCAGCATTAGGCCCAGATAAACTGGGACTCAAAAAGGAAGCAAGACCAGAACAATTTAAAGATGAGAATCCTGGGGCTGGGGTTGTAGCTCAGTGTTAGAGCTCTTGCCTAGCATGTGTGAGGCACTGGGTTTGATCCTCAGGACTGCATAAAAAGTAAATAAATAAATAAAATAAAGGTTTTGTGTCCATCTACAGCTAAAAATGTTTTTAAAAGATTAGAATCCTAAATCTCTGTATCAACATCAAAATAGACACATAAGCATATATGTGGATTGTGAATCCATACAGCTCTGGATTTTGCTAATTGTCCTGACACCTTTCACTCACCAGGGAGACCATGGGCATCTGCCTCCTGGCATATAGTGTCACTCTAGGGGCTGTTCAGAGGCCCTCYCCACCACATCTGCATCCTTTGACAGAACCAAGGTCGGGGGGCACCTGCATCAGGGAGAAGCTTTGAGCCCATCCTACCATCAGAGCAGCCTCGAGGCCGGAGGCCTTGCACTCGAGCATGGCTTTGCCCACTGCGTCACGAAGTGCCTTGTACTTSTCCCCATGCACCAGGTATTGGTCCATCTGGCCCGTGTGGTCTTTCTGCAGCTCAAAAGAAAAGGGTTAGTCATGGTGGAGCGGGTTGAGGTGTTCTGCAAGGCCATCTCCATAGGCTAAGAAAGACAGCAGACACCACTGGAGGCTGGAGGTAGCTCAGCTGGGACTCCCTGTAGGGTCCAGGCACGACAGTCCTGGGAGTCTTCAGGAGCATGTCTTCCATAGGGTGGGAGAGCCCAGGGAGGAGGGAGGCTGACCCTGGAGCTTCTTGCTTTCTCTACACATGGCACCACCCCAAGCGAGGTGACAAAAAACATGTCATCCCTGAGTCCCAGTTGGTCATATTAAAGATGCCAGGAGCTGCAGTGCCATATTTTTTAACCCTAGGACAGTAAGAATTTTCAAATTTTGAGCACTGGGAACAGAGAAGCCTGAAAGCCAAACTCATTGCACTTGTCTCTCAATTGTCCCCACCTCTGCCTGGCAGAGAGCACAAGTCACAGCCTGCAAGAGGTCACCTTTTAATTTACTGGAAGCAAATATTTTTAAAAAATACTCATTCACTTTCCCTGCAGGTGAACAACGAACCAGAAACACACACAAGTGTGCACACACATGTGTCCATGCCTACCTTTGCCCTGTAGCAAGTGGCCTAAGCCCACCCTGAAGCAGAGACCAAGGACCAGATGCCTGCCTGTGTCCTGCCTGTCGTGAGGGCTGGGAGGGTGAGGAGTGGTGCCCATAGCTTGCCCGCTCTGCCAGGGACCTGCGTCTCACCTGCTGTGCAATGACTCCCTTGGGAAACACCCACTGGCATTGATGGCCCTCCCTGGAGAGGCTTTTCACAAATTCCATCCCACACAGGCTCGCAAGCCTCCTGACCAGGTACACGCGGTGCCAGTCGTTCCCTGCCTGGGTGCAGAACTGCTGGACGTGCCGCAGGTAGCCCTGCTGTTCCTCAGCCAGCTCTGAGAGTGCAAGGAGAAAGCTGGTTAGTGACTGAGGACTGAGGGCCTGCTTCTGGGGAACTCAGTAAAAAACACCCAGAAGAGGGGACCATGGTAAGGGCCAGCAAGACCCTAAGGACAGTTCCTGTCCTTCTGAACCTGTAGCTAACTTCTCCAAGGTAGAGAAGACCTGCCTGATCCATCCTGAAACTCCAGGAGGAGGTCAGAAGCTCTGTCAAGACACAGGCGAGTCCTGGCCACCTCCTGCAGGTACTCCACAGACGCAGCAGTGGCAGGTCCTTGGCTTTGTCTCCCTGAGGAGCAGGTCTGTAGGAAATGGCCTTCCTCCCTCAGGCAGTCGAGTCCACTCCTTGTGCAGTAAGCACTGGTCTTCTCATGAATTGAATCCTAAGGAACAGAGAACAAGAAAGAAAAGGATATTATACTTTATAACAGGCAACTCCCCAACCTTCTAAAATTGCCAGTGAGAATTCAAGGGAAAATAAAAATCATTATTGTAGATCTAAGTATAAATTTTCTGAATCATAGAAAAGAACTGGAAAAAGCAAACCTATAAGGAAAACTGTTCAAAATCTAAAATGCATTATAAAATATGAAGATGATAAAAATAAAAAGGACTCATGATCTCGCCAGCTGGGGATGACCATTGCTAACCCTGAGGTGGACTCCTCCAGGCTGTGGTGTCTTCTCTTTGCACCTGCACACACGTGACTGTCAATGTAGTCACACACTGCTTAACAACAGGGACACCTGCAAGAACGCATCCTTAGGGACTTTCAATGTTGTGTCAGCATCAGACAGCTTCAGATACTAGGTAAGGATCTCATGAGACCACCATCACACATGCAGTGAAGGAAACATCACCAAGTTGCTCCTGACTGTGCGTGTGACATCTAAGAGCAAAGCAAGTCTTTGAAACATCTTTCTTTTTCCACACGGAAAAGAAGCATCTGTTAATTGTACTGAATAAAGCTGCATTCTGTCAGTTTTCAGAAACTCTGCCACTGCCTAAACCATATGGTTCATATGGTTTGCAGAAGAAAAGCAACAAAGAGGCAGCCGGCTTACTTCTAGGCAGTTGATGAAGAGCATATAGAGTTCGGTCTTATCTTCAGTGATGAACGCTTTCTTCTCTAACAGGGACAAATAGGCYTGGATGTAATCTTTCACTGCTTGGAAGCTGTGAAAAGAGAAATATTATTCCTGGTGATGTCAGGATCACCCTACACAAAAGCGCATCTATTAATCTATTATCCATCTATTTCTCTGTGTGAGTATAAAGGTATAATACATACATATGCAGGTATATACCTTTAACAGCTTTTTATTAAAATGTTTGCACACTCTTGGAGGAATATGAAATTCCATATTGCAGTTCAGCTGTTCTCAAACATTTGGTTTAGGGCTCTTTTACAGGCTTAAAAATTATTGAAAACTGCAAGAAACTTTTTGTTCATGTGGGTCAAATCTATCAATGTTTATGGTATTAGAAATTAGAACTAAAAAGTTTCAAGAATATTTATCAATTCACTTAAGATAAAAAGAATAAACCCACATGTGTTAATGATGTGGCTTTTTTATAGTCCTATAATTCTTGGAAGCCTTGTTTAACAGAAGTCAGCTGACTTCCTACATCTGCTTCTGATGCTACATTGAAGCGTATAAAGAAAATCTGGCCTCACACATGATGTAGTTGGAAAAGGAAGAATTTTTTAATAGTCCTTATTTATATTTGGGGTTACTCTTTCTCAATACTGTACCAACACGTGATCATTTCTGAAGGTTGGTTATGGGACCTGATACCATGTCAGTTATTTTCATCATCAACTATATTACAATCCATAGACTACTCTGTTATGAATTTTTCCCAGGGCTATGGATTGAACCAAGGGCCTCACTGTGTGCTAGTCAAAAGCTCTACCACTGAGCTGCATCTCCAGCCACTGCATCATTTTTTGATTCTGTGACATCAGGCATTGGTCATTTGGAAAAGCTTTGGTTTGCTGAGTAAAGCAGATCTTGAGATGTTGGCATCTTTTTAGTCTACAACCTGTTGTTGTAGATACCTACCTACATTCATCAACATCACCAGAGATCTGTGGTCTGGTGGTCACTGGCTCAGGCAAA